GTGTAAATGCAACCCTAATTTCTTTGGATCTAGGTTTTTCTAATTTGAACATACAACATTGAATACCAAAGCAATAACCCTATGACTAACATACATATTTCGAAAATCACATATGATTAGGGTTGGAAACTTTACCTCTCTTGTTATATAGCAATAACAAGTTTAATACTTCTTGATCTTGACTTCTGAAAGCCTAGTTACCCAAGTGTTGCACCTTTAATGGAGTCACAAACACCCAATGCAAGAAGATGACTTAGGAGAGATGTGAAATCGGCTAGGGCAACTCAAAGAAGACATAGGGCCGAATTCCACATGCTAAGGGGTTTATTTATAGTTGAGGCTATTAGGGTTTTAAGGTGGAAACCCTAATTTCCTTGCTTAGGCCCTAAGCAACATATGGACTCCTATTAGACAAGCCTTAGACGAAATCTTTATGGACTCTCATAGAGATTTCATCCACCATATACCAATGGGTCCATGAGCCCAAACTATAATTATTACTGATTTACATAATCAGTCCCCATTTATTTAATTAGTCTCTTTTGATCACTAGATTAATTCCAAATTAATTTCTGATCAATACTAATTAAATAATATATTAATCTTGTAATATACTAATAAAACTATTTTGAGTACTAATTATTATTCATATAATAAATTATACTCTCTTTCCACTCGTCATCCTATCAAATTGTATGAGTGAAGCAACCCAAAAGGATCATGCTCATAATCGGGTCAAGTACATACCAATAATAGTTATGGGCTTAGACACCTAATCCAACATTATTATCCGTGAATATATGTGCTTTGGAATCATGTGTTGGTGTATAAGCATTATCTTTAGTTTAGTTATCTGTTATTGTTTGGGTTGTTATTATCAAGGAATGTTATATGCTATTTTTGCATGCCGGGAGTTATGAGTGGGATACGTCTTGTTGAGTTTGATCTAGATGGTTAGGTAGCTTGTTGTGGGCCATTGGTGGAAACAAATCAGGGTATCACTTCAAAGATCAGTGGCCGGATTATCATGATTGGTTCATCAATGAAGTCAAAGATCAAAAGTGTTGTGTCTCTCAGGGGGGGTGTCAATTGTTTATGGAAGGACTTTTGGGTCTGATCGCTACCATTGCTATGAAAGGAGCGGTATCAAGAGGATGATGATGGCGGTCACGTGAGCTTGTTCAGACATTGGAAATGTCAAAGAAATTTCGAAATCGTATCGGTTGAAGATGGTTAGGATTGCATAAACCCTTCGGTAAGTGGGATGTTGGGTGGGTGATCAGCTAGTTCCGGCAAGGGAATTTATTATTTTCTATTTTTAGTAAGGTTGGAAAGGTGTAGTTATATCCAAGTGAGGGAGAACCGTTTGAAATTTCGAGAATAAAATCAGGTGCGGAACCAAGGAGAGTTCCTCATCCTAGTCGAGAAGGAAGCCAATTCAAGTGGCATTCCTGATCGAGGTCGTGCAAGGTTGAGGATCATAAACTTTCAACGATAGGTTGGCACATTCGTAATAGTGCATGACAGACGTGTGATTGGATCCAGGTTGAGGGTTGTATTAGAGCCTCTCTGCTTGTTCTTGTCTGATGAAGGCTTTGGGGCTCGAAGCATAACCCGAACAACTGATTGGGGTATAGTTGAAGCGTTGCAGCCCAAGCCCATGATCTTTTAGGGTTTCCTTCGTATTTAAGCACATCTCACCTCATTTTAGGGTTTCTCATCAACCCCAAACCCTCTTTCACCTCAGAAAACCCTAGTCTTCATCCTTGCTTGATCTTTGGCCATTTTGGAGCTTTTCATGGTTTGGAAGAAGGAGAAAATAAAAAGAAGAAGGTGATCTTTTGTGGAGGCTTCTGGACCATTGTAATTGTTAAAGTTTCAATCTTTATTGTTACATGAGGCTAGATCTAAGTTTTGTCCCACTTTTCTCCTTGGTTGAGCAAGTTTGATGGATGGAAACCATAAAGTTGGCAACTTTATGCGTTATAAGGTTCTTAAGAGTATTTTGGAGTTCAGATCCAGAGAATGGTTGAGTTTTAGAACCTTGCATAAAAGATGGATGCCTTTTTCTTCAACTTTTGACCCAAATGAGATCTAGACATGTATTGGACATATGTTTCTTAAAAGCATCAACTTTCAAGTGTATTAAAGGAGTTATAAGACCTTCTGGAAAGTTAAAGTTCAAGGCTTAATGGATTAAGGACTTCAAAGTTGGATTTTTTTGCCTCAGGTTGTTCTCACGACGTGAGACATAAGGTCTCACGACGTGAGGAGTGGTTGATCCCGTTTCTGGTTAGTTTCTTGGAGCTCACAACGTAAGAGAAGGCTTCTCACGCCGTGAGGTCTGCTCCGTTGACTTTTCTTGACTGAGTTGGCCAGGGTGAGTCAGGATAAGTTGGAATCGGACCGAGTGAAATCTCACGACGTGACCAAGGACTGGTCACGACGTGATGATGGATAAGTTGACATTGGATTGTTGATTTTGACCGTTGACTTTTGGCTTGGTTTGAATTTTGGTCAAAGTTCTATTTTTAGAAGGTAGACTTAGGGGTTACCTTGTGTGGATTGATAGGAGGTGTCGAGCACTGTCTTTTGGCAGGAGAGCAGTTAGCTGAGGTCAGCTTTTTGTGATTCAGGTGAGTCTCCTCACTGTACCTGTGGGTCGAAGGCACCAATACCGGCCCACTATGATATGTTATGTTAGTTGTCATTGTGACTCTTGCATGGTATGTTGGGCTAGGCCCATTGTATGACGGGCTAGGCCCATTGTATGATGGGTTAGGCCCATTTTTATGTGGGTCTAGGCCCATGGAACTCGCTAAGCTTTGTGCTTACGGTTTTATGGTTATGGTTTCAGGTACTTCCAGTTCGAAAGGGAAGGGCCCGACTTGATCACAGCACATCCATCCATGTTTCCGCAACTTGATGATTTTGGGATTGTACTCTAATAACTATTACTTTTGAATGTTTGGAAAAAGACAATTGGTGTTTTTGGTTGAATTAAAAATGAAATTCTTACCTTATAAAGTTTATGATGTTTCATTTTATCTTCCTTTTGCATTCCAAACTTCCATTTAAACTGTAATTAAACATTTCAAAGCATATTAAGTATCATACATCTTAAAATATAATATTTTTACTCAAATATATTAAGATAATGACCTAAAATACATAGTTAAATAAAACCATATTTCTTTGAGCCAAGGATTTGGCGATCGCGTTACAGGTTAAATTGACATTGATGGGAAAATTTAGACCTAAGTTGAATTTCATAGATGTTGATTCATCATCTTGAAATCAAACAACAGGTTCTGTTTCAATTCTACCAAGTGGTGGGGTGGTGTTAATGGTGATGGTTGTGGTGGCAGGTGGTCCGGTGGTGATGGTTATGGGTAATAGGGATGGTTTTAGTGACAAGTGGTATGGTGGTGGTGGTTATTGGAAAAGTGATTGCAACAGGTTGTGGTGGGCGGTGGCAGTAGGTGGTGGTGGTAGGTGGTGGCAGTAGGTGTATGCTCTTGAATGTGTGTATATATTTTGTTTTTTGTATAAAGAATTAAAATAATAAAAACAAAAGGTATTTTCGTCATTTCACAAACACATAACAAATTATGTTAACAAAAATAGTCATAAGGACCATTTGTGTGCAATGTTGAGACCATCCATACAAAAAAGATTTCGTAAAGACTATTTTAGGGACAAAATGAAAAGCTTAATGGACCATATGTGAAATTTTGATAGTTAAATTAGGCAACTCTAGTAGTATTTGGTTGATTAAATATAAACAAGTATAATTTTAAAATTAATGCAAATTTTTTGTCATAGCGAAATTATTATAACAAGAAAAGGGGGGGTGTGTTTGATACAATTGGGACGTGTTTGATAAAATAAAATGTAGCAACTACAATAGCTGAAGGATGAAATCGGAATATGTTGTTTTTATTTATGTAAAAATATTTAGCAAAAAGTAGCTGTAATGCTTTAAATATTTAAAATTACATAAAATTGCTAAAAAGTCATAAAACCTAAAAACACTTGAAAATTATCGAAGCATTCGTTTGTTTTTTCAGAGACATAATGTCTGTAGTCTGCGGACCACATCTACAAACCTCTGCAGAAGAAGAGATAGACCAAACGTCCGCACTATTCAAAAAGAAACTACTTCTTGTTTAACGTCTTCAGACTGTTAAAATAAACTGAAAGTTAAATACATTAATTTTTACAATCTTAAAATAGTTTAACACGATTAATTTGTAAACAAACTGTATAGGCAAGAGGCAATGTGATAAATTAAGAGTTTTTTTTTCTTTTTCTTCCAGAGGTTGTAAAAATGGTTATTTTAATGAAATATAACAAAATGACTCATATCATTTTTACATAATTAGTCGAGCAACAAACTATTTTTATTTTGTTTTATCTAAACATAACTTGTACTTCAAAACTCAAAACAATTTTTTCTTTTAATTTGAATTACTGAAGTGCAATCTATTATGGTTGTCAAAATCGTGATCCCGATCATAAGATCGTACGGTCCTATGATGCTATAATTCTAGATATGAAAAACGAGTCGGATCGTAAACAAATCGTATTTAGGGTAGAATCGCAAATAGGATCGTAGGATCGGGATCCGATGAGATCCTACCTTCCATTGATTTTTTTTTTCAGATGAGTTTTTTTACCACTTTATGTCTTTTACCTTTTATCAAATTACCGTTTATAATTTTGTGTTGTGACTTATAACTAATAGTTGAAAATTTTTATAGCTTTTGAACTTAATATTAAATGTTTGAAATATTTTTCATGTTTTAAAATTAATTAAAGTTATGTTTTATTTTGTGGGATCTTAAGATCTCGATCTTGTAAATGCAAAAACAATATTACTTAGAACCTAGGTTCTCAAAATCAATAGTATTTAGCATATTTTTATTATTTATTATTTTTAATTTTTAATTCGAATATTACTGAAATGCAATTTACGTTCTAAAAATCTATATTCCGCCGACCAGTTCAATTTCACCCACCGTCGCTAGAAGAGAGAGGGCGACAGCGAGAGCGAGAGAGATGACAACAATTCGAAGATTTTGCTGCGATGATCTTCTACGATTCTCTTCTGTAAATCTCGATCATCTCACAGAAACTGTAAGTACTATACTTATCTTCCTCTGATTTGGGATAGCGATTGGAAAACAGACCACCACTCATTCCATGTAAAATCAAAGAGGAGAAAGCTCAATTAATTCGAGGCGAAATGGAGTATTGGTTAAAGTATATATATATTATATTATCTGTTTATTTTATGATTCTCACTGGATATGATTTTGATCAATGCACAGTTTAATATGTCATTCTATATGACCTACTTGGCACGCTGGCCTGATTATTTCCATGTCGCCGAAGCTCCAGGAAACAGAGTTATGGGATACAGTAAATTCTCCACCATTCTACTTGTCCAGTTTTTTAATTTGTAGGGGAACTTCTATAAAGAAAGATCTGGTGGTCATTTAGAATTCTTTTTCTGATTAGGGTTTCGTTTCATCTATTAAACTCGGTAACTGAGATATCATAAAGTTCATTTTGATATCTGTCTCCTATTTGTTTCATTGAAAACAATAAGTGTTTATCAATTCTGGCCACATTCACTATGGTTTCGTGATGATATCCATTATCCATATACATATTTCATCTATTTCAATTGCATTATATATGGATATAAGGCGTTTACTTTTACTGCAGTTATGGGTAAAGTTGAAGGGCAAGGTGAGTCATGGCATGGTCATGTCACAGCAGTTACAGTAGCTCCAGAATTCCGCAGGCAGCAGTTGGCTAAGAAACTAATGAACCTGCTAGAAGACATAAGTGACAAGATGTGAGTTGATTCTTACTTATTAATCTGAGTACATACTCCATATATGTGCATCTACTTTGTTACATTTTAGTAATGGTTATTGAGACATATACCATAGTCTTCCATTTAGACTTTGATTATTATTTGAGTGAATTAATCTAGGAAGTATATCCTAGATTAGAGTAATAATGCAATATGATCACCTAAAGGTATAAAGTTTCTGTTTTCTTTTCTTCATCATTTCAAAGCTTGCACATTCGTAACTCTTTTAAGTAGCTGTTTTTTTGCTGAGTTTCTAGTTTCTCATCAATTTGTTGACATATTGATCTACTTGCTTCTCAAGTGTATCAATATTTTAAGCTTAAGGACTGATACCTTAAAAATTGAAATAACAACATTTGACTACTACATAGGGATGTTTGATCATCAGTCAACTGAATAAAGTACCTTCCACTAAGGTTAAAATAGGAGTATCTTGTGTACTAAAACCTATAACATCAATAAGTTGTAATATATCAGTGTGCAAATAAAGTATATCTTGTGTACTAAAACATATAGCATCAATAAGTTCTAGAGTAAGTTACATTTTTCGTCCCTGTGGTTAGGTAGTTTTTATGAATCCAGTCCAGCTTCTTAATTTTTTACGTTCATTGTCATTGCAAAGTTTATTTGTCATGTTTCCGTTCCTTAGCCGTTTAACTTAATTGCTGGGCTTTTAATTCCATGTAAAACGACAAATATGCCCTTATCATCTTCATTTGTCACCCCTTCATATTTATGTTCATGAAAATCAAATCTAAAATTAAAACAACACTAAATCAAAACAAAATATAGAAGCTCAAATCAATTTTATATCTCAAAGCAATTGGTCTCACAGATTCTGTTGAATCCTTGAAGTAGGGTTGTCAAAATGTTTCTATGGTTTTGAAGTTGCAGGAGATATATGTGTTATATGGTAAGATGAAGGAGATTGAAGAGGAAGAGGGTAAAAATGTAAAATAGTCATTTTTAGCATTTAACGCCTGGATTATTAAGTAGACTGCTCAGGGACTAGAAGCGTGACAAAAAATCTTTGTAGGGACGATGAACGTTAGAAACAAAAAAACTGGTCTCAATCCATAAAAAACACCAAACCACAGGGACGAAACTTGTAATTTACACTAAGTTCTATTATAACAGTGAGCACATTGATAACTGTGTGTAAATTAGTTTATTATCATCCTAAGTGTTTATGGTATGTTTTTCAATTTATTTGTTAATGTCTTATGAAATATATATATATATATATATATATATATATATATATATATATATATATATATATATATATATATTTGAATTCTTTTCTGGCAGTGACAAGGCGTACTTTGTGGACCTGTTTGTAAGAGCATCAAATACACCAGCTATAAAGATGTATGAAAAGGTAATGCTTGAAAGTTGAACGTCTAACAAGTTTTTTTGAGTAAACTACAATTGTGTTACCTGGGTATAGCTGATTTTTCATTTTTGGTCTCTATTTGAGGTTTTTGTAACATTTTTGGTCCCTGAATATAGCTGATTTTTTCAATTTCGTCCCCAAAAAGTTCTCTTGCAAATTTGGTCCTTATTTGAGGTTTTTATCCTTGTTTCAAGTAAAATTACTATATTTTGGGACCAGAATCACAAAGATCATGTATATCCGGGGACCAAAAACAGTCATTTTACTTGGAACATAGTACGGTGACACAAAAACTTAACAAAACCTCAAATAAGGACCAGAATTGCAAAAGAAAACTTTTTGGGAAAAAAGATGGACAAATCAGCTATACTCGAGGACCAAAAATGTAAATTTAGTCAAAAACTTAAATAGATTAGCGGGTATTCTGATTATTTCAACCTCTTTGTTGCAGCTTGAGTACGTGATTTATAGACGTGTGTTACGTTACTATTCCGGGGAAGAAGATGGGTTAGGTAAGCCTTTTCATATTCACCTGGCGTGTTCTGCTTCATTGCTCTTTAAATGTTTTTTTTTTGTTGTTGAAATATGTAGATATGAGGAAAGCTTTATCTCGGGATGTAGAAAAGAAGTCTATAATCCCACTCAAGAGGCCAGTTACCCCAGATGAACTCGAGTATGACTAGGTTGGGTTCTAATTTAAATTGCTAATTTGAGCTTGATGGTAACTTTTATTATGATTCTCAATTCGAGTCTTTGAACATGCATGAAAATACCACAATGCTTGAATTCAGTTCCTTTTTTTTTTTTTTTTTTTTTTTAATTGGAATGGCATGCTACCCCAAGGTTGAAGCCAATGGGATTTGAAGTTGGGTCAACTTCATTTTGGAGTGTAAAGTGTTTCATACTAAGTAATCACCACTAGGCCACCTTAATGGTGGTAATGGATGCTGTTAGTTTTTGGCTGTTAAACGCGTGTAATATTACCGTTTTACCCCTTAGTGTATTCTGGGTTTTGATTTCCACTCCCCACTGGAGCTCTGTGAGTTTAAAACTCACTTTAAAGTTTCATCCTATCGTCTCTAACTCTCATAAAATCTTAGTTTATCATCTTAAAGACAATCTTTGGTTGGGCTAATATGTGATGGAGTTTTTGATGGAAAGAAGACCTGATGACCCTTTGGTTTGAAGAAAGCAACATCTAAAACATTTGTGATTGTGTGTTTTGATTTAATTCTTTCTGATTTTGGTAAATAAAGGCCTAATTGAAGTCCTGGAGTCCACTCTATAAGTGGATCACAGTTGGTGTATCACTCTGCTTTGTTGCTCCTGATTTTGACGGAAGGAAGGGGAGGAGAACAGGAGATAGCTGAACGATTTAATGAGTTTTCCTTTTTACCAAAATATAAGTTTTGAAAAAAATAATTACCTAAATGCGATTTAACTATTTTTTTTTCTTATGATCTTTTAACATCCTTCAAACCCCCTAACTCGAACTAATATAGTAAGGGTGATTCTAAACCCACGAACTCAATTCCAATTGGAGAATAATTGGTTGAATTGACATGTGACATGTATCAATTAATAAATTTAATTGGTTTTAATATATTATATTAACTTTTTTTTCGTAATCATTGAATCTTGCTGTTTTTCATTTTACAATACATATCCTTATAGTTATGTTCATTTTCAGTTCAAACCTTATGTTCTTTAAAACTATATATATATATATATATATATATATATATATATATATATATATATATATATATATATATATAGAGAGAGAGAGAGAGAGAGAGAAAGAGATTCAAAATAAAATAGAGTTCTTGAGATTCAACCTCAGCAACATAATTCAAATCTGCCGTTCTAACCTTCTGGCGTACCGACGAGGCAGATAAGTTATAATCATAAATGGTTATTTAGCGCCGTCTTCCTTTCACCTCCGCCACATTCTCCACCACCATTCTTGCCAACTTGCTATTTAATATGTTTTACCCATCCATTTTTGCGAACTTGCCATTTAATAAAATCTATATTTATAACAAATATCGTATGTTTGTTTTTAACGAAAGTTACTTTCAAAATAACCGTGCCAGTCGCTTTCAGTTTAACAAATAAGAAATATCAGTTGTCTATATATATATATATATAAAAAAATGGAATTAAATACTCATTTTTATCCCTTCTATTTTTGTTATTTTTGTTAATGTTTCATAGTTTATATTTTTTATTTAACAAATTAACTTTTTTTATTAATATTTAAAAATATTTAATAATATTTATTATTCGTCTTCTTGTAAATGTATTAATGAGATCGTTTTAGTTATACAACTTTTTGATTAAATAATATGTTTCTATTTGTTAGTTTTCAAAATTAATAAAGTTTTAAGGGTTTAAGATATAAATTAAAAAAAAACTAGGGTCTTTGTTAAAACTATAACTTAAGTTGAAAATATAAAATTGTAATATTACATTTCGTTATTAGATTGATTGTCACACATATATTGACACGATGATTGAACATTATCAACGTGATGATTGACCATATATTGACACACATAATGGAACCTTTATTTTTGGGTCCTACTAATTAGACCCCATATTCACTTATTGGACCCAAACTATTATGAGTTTTGAGCTTTTTCAGACCTTGAGAATTGTAATTGCTTACTTTTTAATTTTATCTATTTTTACAATTGCAGTCACTATCTCGAGGCCATTTTTACTTTTTCAATTTTTTTTGAAGGTGAGTGTCTTGTTGATACTAAAACTTATTATATTTAATACTAAAATTTATTTCTTTTCATTCAGCAATAAAGGAGCATATAGATTATCATTTTAATTTAAAAAAATAATAATAAACCATCATACTTTTATTTATATAAAATCGAAACATTATTAACATAAAAATACACATACTGCAAATTATGGATTATCATTTGAATGCTTTTAGTTGATAGTGACTTTTGTACATAAATTATATATAAGTACTTTATAATATATTTATAAAAAATGATTTTTATAAATTGTATATAAATAATATAAAAAATATATAAAAGCTGTTTTATTTTAAATGTTTGATAACAAAAAAATATCTCATTAAATATATTTTAGTAAAGTTTGTGATTAAATAGATTTAAGTAAAATTTGTAATTTGTATTAAAAAAAGGTTTCATCATTACTCCATAATTAATTAATAACTACATAAAAATCATAAAGGTGCTGTTTGTTTTTTGGAAAAAACCTCTTCAGACCTCTTATTGCTGCGCGGCGCAGCACACGCGCAACACTTTTCATCTCGCAGCTGTTTGTTTTTCAGAAGTCTTCGGATTAAAAAACCTCTGCGCATGCTCTTCTTGGCGCAACACTTGTTTTGCCTCTTCCTACCTCTTCCAACCTCTTCTTCTTCTTCTTTTCTTGATAAAATATTGTTTATATATTATTGAAATCTTATTTCACATTTTTTTTTGTTTTTTTTTTTGTTTATTCTTGTTGAATTTTTTTTTTCTTTTTTTTATATTGAATAATAATAATTTGTTGATGAAATATCATTATTTTATGCTAAAATATCTTTATTTTTTGTTAAAATATCATTATTTTTTTGCTGAAATATCATAAATTATTGCCGAAATGTCATACATTATTAAATTTTCGGTATTAAAAAACTATATTCGGATTATAAAATCAGTTTATTTTAATTTTTTAATATCTGCAGCAGTATGCAGATGTTAAAAAAACAAACACACTTCTTATTACAGTCTGCAGCCGTTTGGTCCACCTCTTCTACTGCAGAGGGCTGCAGAGGTGGTCCGCAGACTTTATGAATTTTTGCTTCAAAAAAAACAAACAACACCAAAGTAAAAAGGTTATCATTATATTATAATGATAGTATTTAAGAAAAAAAAAAGTTTAATGATTAGGGGGTCATTTTAGATAGTAGAGATGGTCTAATTAGATGGACCCTTATTTTTTAAGATTATTTAAGATTTAGTGAAAAATATATCATTAAAATTTAGTGAAAAATAAACTTTATTAAAAATGAATTTGAATTTATAGTGGTATTATATTATAATGATAGTATTTAAGAAAAAAAAACGTTTAATGATTAGGGATCATTTTAGATAGTAGAGATGGTCTAATTAGATGGACCCTTATTTTTTAAGATTATTTAAGATTTAGTGAAAAATATATCATTAAAATTTAGTGAAAAATAAACTTTATTAAAAATGAATTTGAATTTATAGTGGTACCAAAAATAAAAAATTAATAACATATATTTTTTAGATTATTAGCATATATTTTTATTTACGTATTTCAAATAAACTTATCAAAGTTTAAAAGAATAAAAGCATAATTGTATCTTTTGTAACTTACATCTAGCCTAAAGGGAACAAATTGAAAAAAAATATAAAAACAATAACAATTATGAAAGTGACAAAAGAGTGTGTTTTGTAACTTACAACTAGTTTAAAAGGAACGATAATGAAAAAAAAAATAGAAATTATGAAAGTGACAAGCGTATATGATTGATTGTGCAGTAATGAATTCGTTACTCTAATGATTGTTTACTGATTTGAGTTTAATACACGAATTAATTCGTGTATACAGGAGTCTAAAATAAAGCATTTCAAACTAGCTATATGTCATCCATAAGGTTTTTATACCAAAAAACTATTCCTGAATTTTAAGAATAAATCCAAAGTTCGTTAGAAAATCTAAAATTTCGATAAATGCTTGTTTTTATTGTTGAAATCTAACAAAAAAAACATAGCAAAAGAGAAGTACATATGATATGATACAAAGGGATTAAAATATGACATTTGATTTGAAAAGTCGGTAATATAGACATTTGAAAATGAATAAAGAGAATTTTTGAATTTTTTTGGTGCAAATAAGAAGAAAATACATCTTATATATTTTTAAAATTTCCAAACGCCTTATTCAGACCTAAAGGGTGTTTGGGATTACCTAAAGGATGTTTGGGATTGCTCATTTGACTCGATAAATATTTTTTCTGATAAAAATGTTTCTTAGCTTATATGATGATAAAAGTTTTTTTTTTAAAATATCTGGATTAGTTTGTGATTTATTATTATTTTTTTTACATATTTAAGTTTATTTAGTATTTAGGTAAAACATATAGATATGTTTAGATGTATTATTGTCTTTTTAATCTAATAAACTGTAGGTTATTTTAAGAAGATATAAAAAATTGAATTTTAAAAAATGACTTTTTAAAGATAAAAATATTTATTAGCTTTCTATATATTTTTTAATCTTTTAAACTTTTTAAAAATCTAATCAACTATAAGAGTAAATTACACGAATGGTCCCTTTGGTTTGGGGTAATTTGCACGGTTGGTCCCTAACTTATTTTTTTAACTCGGAAGGTCTCTAATGTTTGTTTTTGTTACGCGCTTGGTCCCTACAGTTTGTTTTTGTTATGCATTTGGTCCCCATCTTACCTAAAATTAATATTATTTAAATAGAGAAAAATTGTGGGGTATGTAAGGTAAGGTGAGGGTGGGGTTGGGGGTGTGTTTATTTAAATAAATTAAAAAATCAAGGGCAAAATAGTATTTTTTAGGTAAGACAGGGATCAAGCGCGTAACAAAAACAAACAGTAGGGACCTTCCGAATTAAAAAAATAAGTTAGGGACCAAACACGCAAATTACCCTAAACCATAGGGACCATTCGTGTAATTTACTCCAACTATAATGAACCAATCAACTATAATAAACGAATATCCATTTTGTCACATGCCAATCTCTATGAGTTTTGACATTTATCATTTTGTGATATTTTTGAAATAAATAAATAAATAATATCTACATGTTAATTTTTAGGTTTTTCAAATTTTAAAATTAAAAAGTCATATAATATTTATATATTTATATATGTAAAGTATTAAATGGCATAAATATGATATTAAATTACAATTAATATATTTCTTTATTTCTTATTTCAAAATTTTATTTTAAAAAATATTTATTGTTTACACTTTAATATATAATTTTTTTTAATCAATCCGTATAATTCACGGAATTTACACCTACTAAATCAATAAAAAAGTTTCGAACTAAATCCCACACACCAATAGTGGTCATTTACTCATTTGTATAAAACTTAAAAAATTAGATTAAATACATTTTTCTGAATTTTGTAAATATCCCTTTTAGAATCTACCCAGAAAATTGTTAGCTTTTTAGAACGGATAGGAAACAATATTACTCTCGAAAAAACGAAAAAGCATCGGTGGTTGAATCAACCGTTCTCCTCCCTGTCGCACCAGACAAAGTGGTTGTAATTGAGCCACTCGGCAGCAATGGCTGTTCACCTATCAGGTGTATTTTTCAGTAAAGCTTCAATTTCACCACCTATTTTTCAACATCGAAGGAGACCACCATTAACGGTGGTTGCAGCCGCCTCTGCCGCGCCTCCTCCTTCACTCCCACCCACTATTCAGGCAAGTTATCTATTTGCTTCTAGACAGTTCTTAGTCGCTGAAATTTGTTCTTACTGACCAGACTAAATCTCCTTCACGCGATTTTGAAGAAATTCAGCTGTGAAAATGTCGGCCATTTGAGGGATTTTGCAATTTAAGGGTTTTGTGACGGAAAATGAGGATGAATTAAACGTTATCTAAATACGAGTACATGTTGCCAACCTGCCATAGAAAGGGTTAGCAAACGGGTCAATTGAGCTACGTAGAGCTTAATTTTGCTTTGTTTCCTCGAAGTCATATATTTGATATCACAAATGGAAAATTTAATCAAATGGACATCAAAGACATAGTTCAGTCAAAGAAGAAAAAAGTTGTTATGATTTTCTTTGTAGTGTTTGCTATAGTTTTGATGTAGTTGAAATTTTTTTACAAATGTGAAATCCAAGTCAAGTTTGTAGTTGAAAAAATAATCCGTTTTTTGACACATCTAAAACCAAATTCTCTTTTGTTCGGAATGGAGAAACTTTGAAAACTACCCCCTTTATGAGTTTCTTTCCACCTTAGATTTAGGGGATGTTTGGACGCTGTGTTATCATAGTGATTAATGCTACTTCATAATCAGAATAAGCAGGTAATTATTTGCTTAAATGCATCAATTTTACCTAAGTTTTCTTAATATTTGGACCATACTAATAAAAAAAATCATAATCATAAATTCACAATCAATTTACTTATACACCCCAAACTGATTATTACCAGTATCCAAAACACCCCTTTAGAAAACCACTCTGTAATAGTATCACTTATGGTCTATGCTTACAAGTTATAGAACCAAAATTAATGCAGACTGTTGGTGGGAAAAGTGCAAGTTGGTATGGAAATAGTGACATGAATTCTAGTAATTCAATGGTCTCTTTTGAAGAGGAGTATGATTGGGCTGATCTTGAGACCGATCTTTACCACTGGACAAAATCATTGCGTCCTGTTCAGGTACTCTTAAGGTCTGGGCTTCCCTTACAATTGATTTTACATTGATTGAAAACTATCATAATTTTAAAATTGACATATTAGTATCTATAATATTCCTCAGTGGTACCCAGGCCATATTGGAAAAACAGAAAGAGAACTCAAAGAACAGCTCAAGTTGATGGATGTTGTCATAGAAGTAAGAGATGGTAGGATCCCAATGTCCACAAGCCACCCTCTGGTAATCTTTTTTATGTTAATGACTTAATTCATATCCTTATACTTTCATTTATGTCGATTTAAGTCCTTATACTCTCAAGCTTACATGAACAATCAGATGGATTCATGGCTGGGTAATAGAAAAAGAATCTTGGTATTGAACAGAGAAGACATGATATCAACTGCTGACCGGAATGCTTGGGCAGATTATTATGGCAGACAAGGAATAAAAGTTGTCTTCTCCAATGGACAGCTTGGAATGGTATATTATTACTATCATATTCACTTTCTCTTATTTGTTTAAAAAAAAAAACAAGAATTAATGGCTGTTTTTATAAAAAGTACAGGGAAGCATGAAGTTAGGAAGATTAGCAAAGTCAGTAGCTGCAGAGGTGAATATGAAACGTAGAGCAAGAGGGCTGCTTCCTCGTGCAGTGAGTTCTACTTTGTTTATATGCATATTTACATTTTTACCCATAAAATGGTTACAAATTTCATGTTCCATATTGCTATTTTTTGTAAAGACATATAAGTACATTGCTTATATTGGTAAAAAGAGTAAAGTAGATTGCTATTTCCTGCAATTTTTAGGTTCGAGCTGGAATAGTTGGTTACCCAAATGTTGGAAAGTCTTCTTTGATCAATCGTCTACTGAAGCGTCGTATGTGCCCAGCTGCTCCAAGACCAGGTGTAACACGATCATTAAAGTATGTTGCTTATTTAATTTTATTATTTTTGTTTTTATAAAATCATGGTCATCTTATTTTAATATTTTGTTTTATTTTTTAATTTTGGTAAAAGATGGGTTCGTTTTGGAAGTGATCTAGAGTTGTTGGATTCTCCTGGAATAATCCCAATGAGGATGAGTGATCAATCAGCAGCTATAAAGCTTGCTATTTGTGATGACATTGGGGAAAAATCGTATGATTTTACAGATGTTGCGGGTGTTCTTGTACAAATGCTCTCGAAGCTTCCGGAAGCAAGTATGATCCTTTTTCTTCGTTTCCTTATATATTTTGGTAAAAAAAAAATGGAAACATTGTTGCATAAATTGGTAAAAAGGAGTGAAAAATTGTTGCATGAACAAAGCATTTAACTGGTCTTTTAGGGCTGTTTCTTCTTATCCCCATCAAGTTCTGTATGTGTAAAGAGGCTGAATGGGTAATGATGTCTTTTATACATATAGTCTGTTTCTTTTTTAAACTTAATAAACCATTGGGCCATTTTATCCATACATTCCAATAAACAAATTTCACAATATTCATCGATTTTAATGTGAGATGAGTTGTTGGGAGGAAAAAAGAAGGGCAAATAGGTAAAAGGTTAGCGTCTTAATACATTAAGCCAGGATTTTTGGCTTAAGTCATTAAGTTGTTCTGTTACGATGTTGCATATATATGGGCCTTAAAGTGTCTAAAAAACCAATTTGTTGCATAAATCAGGAACAGGTGAAACATTGTTGTATAGATCCACATTTAAGTATTTAACCCTATAGTTTCAGTGAAGTAAAGTGTAGAAAAATTTCCGGGTATCTAAAAAGACAAATTGCCCTGTCCAAAATACCCTCATTAAATACAAATAAACAAATGTTTCTCCCCCAAATCAAAACCATCGAGTTGTTTGTACTTTGTACTTTGTAATATTGACAAAGGACAGTTGTTGATTTACATTTGGAATCGTTTCCAAAAATTAAACCTTTGCATATTCATAAGACATTGATTGACTAAAATTTTATCTTGACCACTTTTTTTACTGAGTATTTGACAATCAACTTCCGTTCTTGTTTTTGGTAGATAACAATGTTCTTTGGGAGCGTTACAAGATTGACACAGATGGTCGATGTGGTAGAACGTACGTTTACAAATGTTGTTTTTTTTTTAACCCAATTCTATCCATCATATGGCTTTTAGGGCGCGTTTGTTTGTTTGTTTTACAGAACATGACATGACAAAACAGGTTGTACTGTGTTTGACCCTGGATTGGACTGCATTGGAGTAGGACCGAAATCGAGACTAATGTCAGTGGTACAAAAGTTGCAACTTTTTGTCCTTATCCTCGTCATAAAAAATAGTCCTACAAAAAAAGACATGAATGCCTTCAATATCTCATCGTTTGTGCAAAAGACATGAATGCCCTCCTTATCCTCGTCATCGAAAATAGCCCCACAAAGCTTGTAAAGTCTATGACTTAATATGTGTTCTCTTTGTAAATTCATAGATTTGTCCACAAACTTGCAATCGAGTTGTTCAATGGAGATGAGCATCAAGCGGCCTTTCGGATCTTGTCAGACTTTAGAAAAGGGCGATTAGGTAAAATTGCACTCGAGAGACCTCCTGTTCAATCCCGTGTTATATAATCTGGTAAAAAAATACTTCAAGTTGGAGACTATAGTTACAAAAACCAAAGATATTAGGATTTAGCTGTTTGTATAAAATACTGAAAAAGTGAATCCCTAAGAATTATGAGGAAATTTATTTGCTTAGTTTATCAAAAGTGTAGCAACTTGTAGTTTACTTATGAAATGTAAATTTTCATTTTCACTATCTTTACTTTCTTCCTTGTTTCAATTCAAGCTCACAATATTAGAAATTACCAAATGTCTTTTATTTATTTTTTCGGGTGTCCCAGGGATTCCATTCAATAAATTAACTATCTAAAAAATTCACAAAAACCAGACAAAATAATAATAAATTGTTGGTCAACTCAACTGGAACCCCTTGTGACTCTTTCCACTCGTCTATTTCGTCCGTGTTTACAATTTTCTATTATTTCATTTTGGTGTGGTAATTTTTGGCAAATTGCTAACTCGTCAAACATTTAAATACTCCAACTCTAATTATTGGTTTGATGTCAATTTAATGGATGATTACCAATACGCTTTTTGTTTTAATTATTATTATTATTATTATTTTCTAAAATCTATCAATCTTTCAGATATACAATGTTTGTTCCAAGAGTTTGCTTTGTAATCGATAGTTTGGAGTATTGTTCATATGCAATTTGTATTTTATGCGGTGAAGATTATTCAGTCATTTGGTTCAAAATTTGTTCGATAGAATTTTAATATAGGAAAGAGATAAAAGTATTAGCAGTTAGGTATCTACCCAATGTACGTAGCCCATATGGACTCCAAAATCATAACAAATTATTATTATTATTATTATTATTATTATAATAGTAACTATAATAAACTATAAGACTTTCTTGTATACACATCATAATCGTGGTTCATTGCCAACCATGATCGTTCACACCACCCCCTGTGCATCGTAGTGGTTGTGGCGTGGTTGATTATGGTTATGACTCATGATCACAAAGGAGGACGATGAATGAGAGATGAGCAAGCTTGAGTCATGTAGCCAAGGCAGTTTGATCTTTGAGACATTTTTATTTATTTTTAATTAAAAAAGATGATGTGTAGTTGTGGTATAACAAGTTCATTTGGTGTTTATGTGATGATGAATTATTGAGATGAACATAAAACCTCACCATATTTGTTATAATGGTATGTATAGCGGATAACTTGCTCCAAAAATCTTTTGAATCATTAAATATTATTAAAAGAGAAACTTTGTGACATCACTTTCAACAATCAGTGTCATTGATTGTGTTTCATTCCTATCTTTTCCACCTTTAGATCGTTATGCTGACATCATCATTTGGTTAACCGTTTTTTTTTTGTCCACCAATTTTATGAAATCTATTAATGACAATTACTTTTAACATTACGAAATCTATTAATGACAATTAAATCTCATCAAAAATAAAATTATTTAAAATTAGGAAATCTATTAATGACAATTAAATCTCACCAAAAATAAAATTACTTTTAAAATTAGGAAATCTATTAATGACATTATCATTTGGTCAACCCCACCCCTCATTACCCGTTTCTTTTGTTCTGGTTTGAAAATCACTAACACATGCATTATTTTCTTTTCAATTTATTGCAGGGAAGAAGATATGAAGATCAATGGTGCTGGAAGATACATAAGAAAGATTCTCCCACTAATTTTAATGATGCGTACGTCTTCTTTCACAACGATTCAATCGATTCTTCCTTCTACGACCTCAAATCCAGATACAATTTCTCTTCCCATGTCTCTATGCGCAAACAATCCATAATCTTATCTCTTTGATTCCTCCTTGTGTAACCTCGAATCTCTTTCATCTTATGATCACAACCGCAAGAACTCATTTTTTTTGTCTTCTTCCCTTTCTTCATATTTCTTGCGTTTCACCTTGGGGCTCTCCTTCTTCCAGTCAATTATTTGTTTCTCCGCACAACGGCTTATAATTGATTTGTTATGTTTCGATTTCTGGTGTTTATTTCTCAATTTTGATGAAAAAAACCTAATTCACACTTGCTTTCAGGAATTAAGGGAATCGTCGCTCCTTCTCCGCCTCCCTCTTTCTATCTGTTGCAGAAACTAGAAAGACGACATACACACACAATTAATGTGTTCGTCTTTTTGATTTTGTTCATAGGTTTGTTTTCTACACCACTCCAACCTCTTGATTTGCTTTTTATACGATTTTTCTTACTGTTTTCTTCTTTTCCTTCATTTTTTTCACCATTTTCTGTTTTTTTTATATAGCTTTTGTGTGCTTACTTTTTTCTTCAGGGCTATCTTGATGTTGATTTTGGGTTTTTGTTGAACACAATTGTAACACCCATAAAATTCAGACAAATTTAAAACATTTAAACCCCATTAAGTTATTACAACTCGTTTTCAAAATAGTTTAAACATCAGAGTATCCCCAGAACCAAATCGCAAAATCATGAAATATGAGGAGCGGTACGATCACGCCTTTGCCTTGCCACGATCACCTGATGTACCTGAAACAATAAACTGAAAACCGTAAGCTCGAAAGTTTAGTGAGTTCCCCCAAAATACTCGTACACACATAACCATACACATACAACAATGAACAGCATACTATGGGTCCAATCAACCATCAGGTTGGAATACCCCAGGCCCTCAACCGTCGGGTTAGAATGCCAACATACTACGAGTCCAATCATCCTCGGGATGGAATACTCTCGGCCCACAACCATCGGGTTGGAATGCCCACACACCTATACATACAATAACTACTATGGGTCCAATCATCCCTCGGGATGGAATACCCCAGGCCCTCAACCATCAGGTTGGAATGCCCACCTACTATGAGTCCAATCATCCTACCGAGATGGAATACTCCTGGCCCTCAACCATCGGGTTGGAATGCCCACCTACTATACATACAATAGCTACTATGGGTCCAATCATCCCTCGGGATGGAATACCTCAGGCCCTCAACCATCAGGTTGGAATGCCCACCTACTATGAGTCCAAACATCCTACCGGGATGGAATACTCCTGGCCCTCAACCATCGGTTGGAATGCCCACATACTAGCAAAATGTGCACCTATTAAATAATCATATAACAGTCTACAAGACAACATACTAGGGCCCTATCATCATACCGGGATGGAATACCCTCTACTACTACTCAACACGTGCACATATAACAGGTAATCTCCTACCAGCATACAGACAGTCAGACCAACTACAGGTCACTAAGCATAGCCACATCCAATCTATCAGATTACCAATCTAACAGAGCATACCATCATATAGCCATCCTATCTACCAGGATGCCAACTAACAGAACATACCATCATAAAGCCATCCTATCTACCAGGATGCTAACTAACATATCACAGCAGTAACTAACTCAAATAACAACTCAAAGGGCCGGCCTTGGTGCCTTAGACCCTTGGGTATAGTGAGGATAACTCACCTTGCAACTGCCGAACCGAACCACGAAAGCACAATCCCGAAGCACTGCCCCAAACTCCAAAACTTATAGCCATCAATGATCCATTGACATAAATATCCAAATTACCATAATACCCTTGAAGGTCAAACTGGTCAAAGTCAAAGTCCTGGCCGAAGTCAACTTTCCTGATTGACCCTACTCGTCGAGTCAACCCGCTGACTTGCCGAGTCCCCAACTTCAGAAAACTCTTATATCACAACTCGACTCGCCGAGTCACCCCATGACTCGTCGAGTTAAACAATCTCTGAGTCCTATCATGTCCAACTCACTGAGTCACCACTCAACTCACTGATCTGAGTCTTAACCAGAAGAGGTTGGGGTTTTGTGTTCTGACTCGCCGAGTCCACGGCAATCTTCAACAGACTCACCGAGTTGTTCCTCCAACTCGTCGAGTTCATGCCTATCTTCAACAGACTCGCCGAGTCCAAGAACAGACTCGTCGAGTCCCTTCAGTCCTTTATTCATACAGAGGCTTTTCGACTCATGCAGGGGCTCCAAACTATAGATCCACTCTTCTAGGGCATGACTCTCACGTAAAGTTGCAAACTTTACGTGAAACCAAGGAGCTATAAGCCCAAATCACTCTAGGGCTAAGGTTTAAGACAAGGATGCTTCACCAACAAGCCAAAGGCTGATACTTTGTGAGTTTTTGGACCAAGACAAGTCTAGATCTGAAGTAGCAACCTCATATCTAGACCCCTAACCCGAAATAGATCCTTAACATGCAAAAAGGGCCCCAAATCTCATTCTTGAATAGATATAAATGCAATAAAGTCAAGGTAACAGCTTGTTACATCCAAAATGTGCCCAAACTGCAGTAGATTTTGGATCTACACCACTCTCTTGATGCAAGCCCTTTTGATCTTCAAGTTTCTTCCACTAGAAACAACTTCCAAAGCTTCAATCTCCCTCCAAAGGCCTCACACACACGGCTTAGGGTTTTTTGGTTCTCAAGGGCAATAAGGAGGCTGAGAGAAGGACATAAAGTCCTTTAAATAGGGTGCAACCCCCGAGATTAGGGTTTTTCTCATTCCAGCACCAACTCGTCGAGTCCAGCTTCCGACTCGGCGAGTTGGTCACTTAACTCGCGACCCAAGACCCGCTCCGACTCGGCGAGTAATCATAACCTACTCGTCGAGCCCTTCTTCAAAAATTACACTTTAAAACCTTAAATCATAACCTCTTGAAAATTTGGGGTGTACAACTCTCCCCCACTTAAATTAGGCTTCGTCCTCGAAGCCTACTGCAATATACGATTCTGAATACACCTCTTGCACTGCAGACTCCGATTTCACAATCAACTCAGGCCCTTCCAGACCCTACCACTGTACCCCAAAAAAATAACTTCTTCTCGTGTGGTATCCTTGCCAATACTCCCGGCCGACCATCGGCCTCTTCTACTTAATGTCTGAACACATCAAAACCAGTATCCCGATGATACTGCACACCTTCCTGACATGAAACACCACCTTCGAGACTTGCGAAAGTTAGACACCATAAAATCCACTGAGCTCTGCTATAACACTAATCCACCTTTCCTTCGCCCAAAACTGGCGATAACCCGGATAACCTGCAATAGGGAACGAATCTTGTTCCCATCTCGAATCTATTCCCTTTTTCCAAGACAGGATATTGCATCCTTCAGCTTCTAGCAACTCCCATGAATCAGCCAGCTACATCACATAACCATTCGTACCTAGCCCAATCAGCCTCGGGCTGGAATACAGGTACGCCTATTGTTGGGTTATGAGCATTCTAACACTCCTAAGTGTACATGCAACCCTAAATACATTGGATCTATGTTTTCTCTATTATACATACAATTATGAACATCCAGGTATTATCCTAATCTAGCATACAAATAATAAATATAACAAGATAGAATACATACTCTTTGATGTAGAATGTCTTCATGAAGCTTGAGTGCCTAGTGCCCCAAGTGTGACACCTCAAAATGGTTACACAAACACCAAATACACTTGGAATACTTGAGAGAAACTTTTGAACACTCCTTGAAATCGTCTAGCCCTCACACTCACACATTAGTGTACGATTTCTTGAGCCATGGGATTCTTTTATATGGTGGCTATTAGGGTTACACCATGTAACTTATAACTTTACCCATTCCTTATGCTCCATGGATTTTAACCTCCATAGAGTATCCATGGGTCACCCCATGGACTTAGTCCAACATAAGGAATCTTGGATCACAAGCCCACATATATAAGAATGAATGATTTACACAATCAAATCAATATTTAATTAGTCCTCCTTTGACCACTTAATTAATTCCAAATTAATTCTTGATTAATACTAATTAAAATAACCTTATTAATATATTAGAACTTATAATATATTTACCCAACCTTAAGTGTTATTTCTCTCATTATAGTCTATCCAAATGCATGATGCCATGCAACCCAAATGGACCATGTCGGGTCGGGTCAAGTCTTACCAATTATAGTTATGGACTTAGACATTAATCCAACAGTCTCCCACTTTGATAAGTCTAAAACTATTATTACGTATGACTTCAGGAACCGATCAGCAATCGTAGCTCTCAAAGCTTCTGTCGAACTCTGACCTTGTCGATGAACTCTGACTTTGTCAATGACTTGTCCATTAGATAAGGGGATCATAATTCCTCCATTCTAGATATCATATGGACTGAGACAAGGATCTTATCAATCATTCTCTCTGTCCATTTTTGTTTCCCGATTTCCGATTCATGATGACTGACTGATTGAACAAATCAAATCAGTCTGGCTTGGCCAAGCACTCACATGTATCGTCTTTAAATCATCGAGGGCCCAGATATCGCTTTATCCGAAGAAGGTAAAAGGAATGGAAGGATAAACTTCGACTCATATGGCTTGTTCTACTAGTTGTTGAATCATACACAAAGGCACGTTTATAACATCGAGTTACCAATGCGTTTTCGTGCAATCAATGTATAACCAACTCATAGTAACAACTCATATCTCTAGGTTTGAAGAATATAAGATATTATCGTCTCATGATCACTCGTGATAAAATCCATGAGTGATTCAAATGAGCGGGGTTGAAAATCTACTACTCAGAACTTTGAGCACTCATGAGTGTTGTAGCACCACTTTGTCCACAACTTGGACCTCTACAAC